CCTGCTGTTCCTCCAAGACAAAGAAGCCTCGTTCTGGAGCTGAGGAAAGCCTCGACTTTCACTCTCGGAGGCGCACATCACCTCAGGGAAATGACTCCAGAGGGGCGAGGAGCCGCGTTCTGCTGTGGGCCATGCGTGCACACTCCCCTAACTTCTGGCTAGCAGGTGGTCCGGCAGCGCACCCATAAATCAGCCTGGGCAGGCAGGTGGCCTCACCGCAGGTCAGCGGCTGCACAGGCCACCTTGTTCCTCCCTCACCCACCCACGCCCAAACCCTGCCAGCGCACCTGGCTCCCTGAATCCGCCCCTTGTCTCCCAGCCTCCTACCCTGACCAAATGTTTATGGACACTTCTGTGGTCAACCAGGACCAGGGATGATTTTTCCATGGGCACACAGGACGGGGCCTGCCCTGGCTGAAGTACTGTGCTGATTTCCTCTGCCAGATGCTGGCAGCCGTGGGGCAGCGGGGCGAGGGGAGGGCTCCCTTAGCCCATCCCATGAAGCCCAGGAAGCCACTCCTCTACCCATACAAGGGGTCAAGGCCCAGTTTGAAACATCTGCTGTCCCCCGACATCTGCTGTCAGACCCACCAGGAATCTCTTTGCTGGGACCAAAAAGAATCTTCTCAAAGACCAGGGAGGTCCTTCCAGGCCTGAGCCCTACCCTTCATTTCCTTCAGTCACACAAGGCTCCCACCCACTGGCTGGAAACCCAGCAGCTGTGCTGCCCGGAGAGCACCTGGGTGCAGTGAATGATGCAGCCCCCAACCGCACAGAACAGAAACCCCAGGAACCAAAACCCCAGCTTCTCCACACAACAGGGCTGGAGGTGCACAGGTGGGAAGTCTATGTCCAGCTCCTGCGTCCTGCCCTGCCATGGGGCGACATTCATTCTCGTGGTTATAGACAATGCCTCCTTCCAACTTCACCACATTCCAGACAGCAAGGCGGGGAAGGGTGAGGAGCACAGCATGTCAGCTGCCTCTGACCCCTTTGATCAGGGAAACAGCAATTTCCCCAGCAATCCACCCTGTAGATTTCCACTTCTAGCTCACTGGCCAAAACTAAGTCACATGGCCACCCCTAGGTGCAAGAGAGCAGAGGAAGTCAAGCTTTTTCAGCTGGGGACAAAATTAGAGTTCTAATAGAAGACAGGAAGGACTAGGGAGTAGCCAGCTGAACACTCCAGGTTGGGGTGAGAAGAGGCAGGTACAGTCCAGTCCTGGCTTCTAATCCTGTGACTTAGTGACTGTGTGACATCGGGAATAGTGCCCAGCCATAAAATGGAGTAAAAATGTCTACTTCACAGGGTTGCTGAGCATTAAGTGGGCACAGCATGTAGATGTCCAATAAATGGCAATGAGTATTTTTATTAACCAAAGCCTTGACCTAACAGTGCCTGTCCATAGCAGGTGCTCAACAAAATTCCTAATTGATTCATTAATCAACTAAGAAACAATACTGGCAGGAAGGCAGGGAAAAGACAAGAGTATCTTGTCTAAAAGCCAGAACACCACTTTCAGAAGAGAGCTAGAAACAATATTTGGGGTTTTGCTTCAAAAATACAGGTGGTGGTATAGGCCAGTATTGAAGAGATTACAAATATTTCTCTAATACTAGTAATCAATAAATATCAAGGCCATGATGGGTGGCAGGCACTACTCAAAACACTTTTGCCAGGTGCAATGGCTCACACCTGTAATCCTAGCACTTTGGGAGACTGAGGTAGGCAAATCACGAGGTCAGGAGTTCAAGACCAGCGTGGCCAACATAGTGAAACTACTAAAAATACAAAAATTACCCATGCATGGTGGCAGGCGCCTGTAATCCCAGCTACTAAAGAGGCTGAGGCAGGAGAATCACTTGAACCTAGGAGGCAGAGGTTGCAGTGAGCCGAGATTGCACCACTGCACTCCAGCATGGGCCACAAAAGCAAGACTCCATCTCAAAAAACAAACACACATATACTTCTATATTCTATGATTTTTTTTTTTTTTTTTTGAAACAGGATCTCACTCTGTTGCCCAGGTTAAACAGTATTATGAGCATGGCTTACTGCAGCCTCAACCTGCTGGGCTCAAGCAATCCTCCCATCTCAGCCTCCCAAGTAGCTGGGACCACAGGAGCATGCCACTACATGCGGCTAATTTCTTGTTTTTGTAGAGTTGAAGTCTCCCATTATGTTGCCCAGGCTGCTCTCAAAATCCTGGACACAAGCAATCCTTCCTCCTTGGCCTCCCAAAGTGCTGGGACTACAGGCATGAGCCACTGTGCCTCACCCCATTTTTGCATTCTAATTTACGCCTCCCAACAACCCTTTGAGGTAGTGGCATTTCAGTGATGGTGGCTGAGGCTCAGAGAGGTTAAGGAACTTGTTGGAGATCACACAGCTTGCACAGGGCAGTGCTAGATTTTGACCTCATGCTCTTAATCATCATACTACTGTCTGCAGGGACAAAGCCAAGGCCGGGGGGTGCAGGCAGCCATGCTTCTGCCAGCCTGTCTCACAGGAAGATTTCTGGGAGCCCTGCTTCAATCCCACTCCAAGGATCCTGACAGTAGCAGAGGAGCCAGTGGCTTTTCTCCTAACTCCCAAAGACAGCCCACCCGCAACCTCTTCTCCCCTCTCAGCCCTGCCAGCATCCAGCCTTAGGTCTCCACAAAGGAAGCTCACATCCCACAACTGTTTAGTCGCCTGTAATCCTGGCTGAAGTTCACTCCTGGGGAAATGTAATGTGGGGGGTGGTTGCTGCTGGAATGTGTGTGGCTGGGACCCTGTGTCCCAGCCCAGACAGCAGGCTGTGCTGGAGCTGTGAAGAAAGCAGGCAGCCAGGGGAATACGGAATCCCCAGCCCCCAGCTGTGCCAGAGAATGGAATGTGCTGCTCTGGGGTGTTGAAACATACCCAGGCAGCCTGGAGGTGGGGTGGCTGGGAGCTGGGGGAGCTTCAGCCACAAGGCTGCCTCTGTTCTTGAGGCTGAGCCCACTTCACTAGGGCTGAGGGTGGGAGGGAGGAGAAGAGAGGCTGTGCTTAGTGGGCAGGCCCTCTTGTTAGCTCAGTGGCTAGCTCCTGGAGCCAGTGGGGGCCAGACAGAGGGGAGGGCAGCACCCAGGATTGCTGGTCCTCCCAAGGCTCTCCTATGAGGCCTCTACAAGTGCAGGTGGCACAATTCACATCCCAGCTTCACAGCTTACTAGCCATGTGACCTTGGGCAGGCTCCCTAACCTCCCCATGCCCCCATTTACTCATCAATTAAACAGAGCTAACAACAGAACCCACTTTTGGAGACTGCCACAAGGTCTCGATATGATGCACTCAGCATGGTGCCTGGCACAGGTGCTCCATCAAAGTAGGGATTTTCCTGAGGGCCACAAGCTGTAAGACGGATGCTGGGCCAGGGCCCTTCTTAGGGGGTGCCCTGAAGGTCCCAGGGAGACAAGGGGGTAAAGACAGAACTTCAGGTGGCTTCAGCCACAGGGCCGAAAATCCTGAAGATCCCGGGAACCACTGCCAGGTCAAGGTCGGCCAGGGCTCACAGGAGGCTGCTCAACAGAACCAACCACAAAAAGGGTTGGCAAAGCCCTGAGCCCACACCAGGCTGTGGGAGCTGGAGCCCCAGGCCTGCTCCAGCAAGCGCCAGGGCTACGGCAGTCTGGTTCGCCATCCCCTCCTCGGGGGCCTGAGAACATTTTTTTTTTTTTTAAACATGGACAGTTTATCTTCCAGACCACCAACATGCAGGTCCTCTCCATGCTGTGGACGCAGCCAGTTGTAAAGCACAATCCCTCCGTGACTTTGCTTCCCAGTGGCACCTGCAATTTAAAATTATGTACCCTGCCTATTCTCAGGGGCACCTCAAGGGGACAAGGCCCTCTAGCTTCCCCTTCTCTGAGGCTGCTGGCCCAAAGATGGAAACCCATGTTTCTCCCATCTCTGTAATCCATGCCTGCACACACAGGTTTCAAGTTACTGCTGTTATGGCTGAGATTTCACCACTATTTGGCGTTTTCATTTTCCAAAAACAAAATGTATTGACTCTGCTTTTCCAAACTACACTCATGCCTCTCTGATATTCTTCTATGAAGAATAATCTAAAATTATCTGGTTAAAAAAAAATAATAACTGTCCTAAGCCACCTAGGACAGAGCTGTTTGTCCTCTGAAGGTGGCCAGGATGATAGTTAGGAGCCAGCATGTCCTGTATGCCAGGCACCGTGCCCCATGCCTCCTGCAGACTCTCATTTCTCCCTCACAGCACCCGCACGAGCGAGGCATCACCAGCAGGTGCACTTTACAGAGGAGGAAAACATGGCGAGCCTTCGGGCAGTGCCTTACGCCGATGGGCCCCAGCATCGCTCCAGCAGATGGTAAAGGGGGCCAAGCATGAAGCTGGCCCACAGCAGGCACCACGCTCTACTGCTGCAGGACTCTGTTTCTAGTTTGGGGAAACAGTGCCTACCTCAGAGTTGTTGCGAGCAGTGAGTACTGCACACAAAGCCCTTAGTGCCCAGCACCCAGCCACTGCCCACCTGCCCCAGCTCAGGGCACGGCATGTACTTTGCATCTCACAGCCAATCCTCTTTCCTGCTGCTCCTGGCCTCCCTGAAGGCTGACCCTTTCTGGCTTTCTCGGGGGGATTAGTTAAAATCTTTCCAATCTAAAGCCTACATTGTTTAGAGTTTACCAGGTTCTAGTCCAACACCAACCCCCAGTGCTGGGCCCTCACAATTTGGTCATAAGACCGGGCCTCAAGTCAATCCAATAGGCATATGCTGAGCCCCTCCTGCGTGCAAGGCACAGCTTTCCTCCTCTCAGCCCCCAGATCACACCCAGACCAGGCTGCAGTCCCCACGCCCCCTGCCACCAGGGTGCCCCAAAGGCCCGCCCCTCAGCCCAGTCCTGCAGGCCTTGCACAGGCCTGCAAACTCCAGCAGTGCCAGGGAGATCCGGTCTTCCAGCCTTAGGGAAAATGCCATTAACAAAGACAGGACAAAAATATAAGAAGCTTGAGGCCTTTTTAATGACAATTCTCCTTAGACACAGAGATCCTTTTAGTTCCTCTCCAGTATAAAGAAAGCAAAGTTCAGTAAAGGGTACTGAACTCTCTCTCTTAACAGGGCACAGAGGCAATACCAAGGCCTGACTGGCTCCCCAGGGCTCTGACACCTCCACTGACTTGGGCAGGCCCCTGCCTGCAGAGCCCCAGCTAAACTGCTCGGACTGGCAAGAAAGCAGGCCTAGGATGAGTCCCTTGTCTCCCAAACCTGACTCTTTGGACCCCTGCTCCTTGAGTGTAGAAACCTCTCAGCCACCCATGGGTCCTGGGTTCTAGGCAGCCCATGACTCCAGGGAAGAATCCTAGACAGGAGAGACACCCCCACGCCACAGTCCTCCTCCTCCCATTCCTTGTGTTACATGTTCCCAGGAACCGTGCAATAAATAAATAAATATTTCAGAAAGGCAGGGCAGCTCCAGGGAAGGGAAGGGATGCCTGAGCCAGCTCATGGCTAAGGGAGAGACACTGAGCCCATAAGAGTCCAACAGTGAACATGACGTCGTTGGAAAGAAAATGGAGACCCCAAGGGGCCTTATCCCATAACTGAGACTGTCCTCCAGGGAAGAGCCCTGGGATCCAGGTCCCAGCCCAGCGAGATCCTACACTTCCCAGGTCCCTGGTGGGTCAAAGACTTCAGGACCTCTGCTCCACTCACCTGACCTCACACTCCATGGGGCAAGGGGCAGGGAAAGGAAGATGGAGCGCTGGGCCAGTGGAGGGCTGCCCCAGACTCTGGGCAGAGGGAGCAGAAGCAGTGAACCAAGTGTCCTGCAGCTGCCCCAGCAGAGCTGGGGACACTAGGGCATTGTGTGGGCTGAGATTCTGTGAATCAAGGCATCTTCGAGGGGAGGCTGTGGCCCATCCAGCTGCTGGGGCTTCCCCATGCTTTCTTCCGCTTAATGCTGAAGGACTCAGCCAACCCCTCCCATACACATTCTTCTCTGGGAGAAACTGGGAACTTCAACTCTGTTTCTAGAAGCACCCCGAGTCTTGTTAGCCCTGACCACACCCTCTGATGGGGAAATGATCAGATCCTGGTGCCTGAAGGTACATTCAATCAGCAGAGTTGGGGTGTGGCACTCCCAAGCGCTTCAGAAGGCTCTCTGAGGCTGAAGGCCTGACCCAGTATCCTGCAGGAGAAAAACCTCTCTTCCCAACCTCAGGTCTGGAATTCTCAGGCATGGCCACACTAACCCTGTTCATCAGACCCCACTCATACCTGGCCTAGCTCACTGCTGCCCTCTAGTGGCTACTGCCTGCCCAGCCCTGAGTTCACTCAATCCCAGGCAGAGCAGGGCAAACATGCCAGGAACTCCAGGGGTTCCTCTCCCCAAGGGATTGAGAGCAGCCATTGCCAGCCACTCTCAGGGGTGAGGAACAGCTCCAGAAGCCAGCTGGAGAGAGCAAGGAAGGAAGGGGAAGCCTACCTAGCCTTCAGACCACATTTGCCCAGCACAAAACATAGGGGGCCGGGGTGGGGAGTTGGGGCCTACTGCTGGCCCCAAGGGCAGGTGCCTGGTTGGACCCTGGCTTCTCTTCTCACTTGCTCAAGGTCTGGTTACACGAGGCGCACACAAACACAGTCTCCCTCTGGGCTTCAGGGGCTGAAAAGGAAAAAGAACTTGGCGAGACATTTCCTTGTGCCCTTTGGTTCATGGCAACGACCACTAGAATCACCCTCCCAAATGCCCCACACAGATCCCCCCAGCCCAAGCCTTCTTGCCCAACTTGCTAGCCTGCCAACTGGGGATCCTGGGGGTGATGATGCCAACAGCAGTCCGCTTCTGGGCTATGAATTAGACATTATTGTGGCACCAATGGAACACCTTAAAAAATCTTTTTTAAATAAAATATCAAATACAAAATTAGCCAGGCATGGTGGTGCATGCCTGTAATCCCAGCTAATCAGGAGGCTGAAGCACAAGAATCATTTGAACCCAGGAAGCGGAAGTTGCAGTGAACCGAGACTGCACCACTGCACTCCAGCCTGGGCGACACAGCAAGACTCCATCTCAAAAAAAATAAGTAAGTAGAATATCACACTAAAATTTCCCAAAATGTTTTAACAGTGGTTATCTCTGGGTGGTAAGATTACAGGGTTATTTTTCTCTTCCTTCTTCTGTATAGTAATTTCCAAATTTTCTAGTTAGTAAGCATGTCTTACTTGCATCAGAAGAAGAAAGCACTTGGTTTAATATTATACTACAAAACGGTACATGAAACGTGGCCACATTTTTGAGGAACATGCTTCTATCCTATATGCAAGCTAATGAGCAGCAGGGTCCAAACCCGATCGTTCTCTCAGGAAGAAATCAGGAATATTTTTCTTCCTTTTGCCTATCTGTGTTTTTTTTTATTTACAATATGTATGTATAGCTTTTATAAAAGGAAAAAAATGAATTTTTAATTTTGTTCAAAGTGCCAAGGCAATAAGAAAAAGATGAAACTGCGGCTGGTTATTTACTCCGGGAAGGCAGGAGCAGCGCTGGGAGCTGCAGGGGTGTGGCCAGTGCTCTTGTTTTTCAACTTTAGTGAAGCGGTCACAGGTATTCATTTTGTTATCACGCTTCAGAATTCAAAGGTACATCATGCCTATTCTTCGGCATGTACCAAATGTTTCCAGATTTTGCTAAAGGGGATGGAGAAACTGTTCCTGCAGGCCTGACTACAATCCCAAGTCCCCTTGATCTCTGACACCCTCGCCCCTTTGCCACGATGTGGCATCCCCTTGGCAGGGCACCAGCCAAGCCCTCCCACCACCTGCACCACTCACCTGTGGCCCCCATGGAGGACTTGGGCACTTTGAAGGAGCAGCATCGAGAGCAGAAGCTGTTTCCACAATTACTGCAGCTTCGCTGCAGACAAGAGCCAAGGTCAGATGTGTTCCCCACCCTCAGGCACCTGGAGTTCTCAGCACCTCCCTCCTTTCTACCAGCTGATCCCACCCAAGGAAACTGGGACTGGGGGGCACCCAAGTGGAGCCAGAAACAGACCAAATGGAACACCCCCTGGGGAGGCTGATGAAGGTGGCACGGGAGCAGGAGAGGGCACACTCACTCCAGAAAGCCATCACCAGGCCCAATGTGACCCGAGCCAGACTTCAATGACTCAACTCCTCCCCAGCCAACGTCCCGAGCACATTGTCCCCAACAAACGCACCCTCACAGACACTCACCCTCTTCTTCAACACTGAGAAGGTGGCCGAGCAGCCCGTACAGTTCCCTGAGAAACAGAGGCAGCAGCTCAGCCCTCACCCATCCCGGGACTCTCACCTGCTCCAGGTTCTTCTAAATGGGACACTCAGGACACCAGCCCAGCCTCCTTGGCTGGACAGTGAGCCAGGGAGCAAGTCCAGATTCAGAGCCAGAAAGAAGGATTCAAACTAAGAAGACTGATAGCCCCTGGGAACTGATGTCTCCAGCCATACACAGCTACCAGCCCCTGAACCCTCCAGAGCTTAGTGGCCCAACCTGCAGAAATCAAAGAGCACCCAGCAGAATCCACTCCTGGAAAGCCAGATAGGCTGGCAGGGACCTGATCACAGGTATCCCCAAATGAAACCTGCCCTAGTAAGACTCTTTCCGGAGCAACACCTTACAAATACTCCACCCACAGGGTAAAGACAGAAATGCCTCCTAAAAACCCAAACTCCTGCTTTCTGTCTCCTTTAGATGCAGGAAAGAAGCTCAGAGCCAGGCACATTCCAAGAAGACATGAAGGGTAGAATGCTCAATTGTGGGGAGCAGTGAATGGCATGGCGGGGGGGACACAGAACAAAGCAAGGTCCTGCCTAAACCACCAGAGATGCCAGGATGGCCAAGTGCCAGGCAATGGTGGAGGGGCAACAGTAGCTTAGAAAATGGCTAGAAGACGACAAGGGGGTATAAGGAGAGAGGAAAGATGGGGAAGGAGGTGGTTTCTGGGATGTGGGGCCCAAAGGCCTACTGTGACCCAGCCAGACCTTGTGTGTAGGCAGGTACAGAGCACCAGGCCTCATTTTCACACTAAGGCCCCAAAGCTTTATTGACAGCTACATGTGGTCCCTTCCTCCGTCCAGCGAAAATCACCTAAGTCCTTGCTAAAGGAGATTCCCTCGGTTCAGGGAAAGGAAGGCCCAAGCTAGAGCCAGGGGAAACCTGAGGCCAAGGTGCTTCAGGTAAATGCCTGCTCCGTCAGCCAGGGAAGGAGAGGCACAAGCCTGCTGCTGCCAAACCAGGAAACTGACTGCTCCAAGATTCTGCCCCTACACTAAGAATTGGGGAAGGCAGCCTGCCCCAGCCTCTCCTTAGCAAGGGACGCAGGGGAATGGGACAGGCAAAAGGAGCTACTCAAAGACTGACACTGGCCCATGCCCAAGGGCCCCTCTGAACTAAATGGAATGCCAGGGCCAAGCACCCGTGGGAAGCCAGGTGGTCTGGTGAGACAGCTATGAACCCACACAGGCCAGAGCCAGGGAGGACTCTGGGAGCTGACAGCAGCTGAGCCAGGTGACGTTCCCTTCCAACACCTACCAACCCTTTCTGCCCCTTCTCGGCAACAGCCTGGACTCATCCATCCTCACTCACCACATGATGATGCCACGGAGGCCATGAGAGCAGGGGCACTAAGGCCCAGTGGTGCCTGCCAGGGCAACAGTCATGGAGCCTCCAAGACAAAGAGGGGTTCCCCACCAAGGCCTCTCCCACGCAGAGGCCACAGAGAAGCTCCTGCACAGTCTGTCCTCATTCTCCCATGTACCCCCTCATCCACTGGTAGGGGTAAACAGAACCCCCACTAAAACCCCCCAACATTTACATATGGAATCCTAACACCCAAAGGAGGGCCCCTGGGAGGTGACTGGGTCACAAGGGTGGAGCCCTCGTGAATAGGACTAGTGCCCGTATAAAAGAGGCCCCAGGGGAACTGCCATGGCCCTCCCATCTTCTCGTGAGGATACAGTGAGAAGGCGCTGTCTATGGCACAGGAAGTGGACCTCACCAGAACCCAATCATGCTAACACCTTCACCTTGGACTTCCGGCCTCCAGAACGATGAGAGATTTCTATTATTTAAAAGCCACCCAGCTTAGTGTATTTTGTTATAGCAGCTGAAATGGAGTAAGACAGTCCCCAAAGCAGCTCACCTCACCCTGCTCTCAGGACCCAGACCCAGGAGCAAAGGCCACATGAGCAGAGCTGCTACACCTACCCTCACAGCAAAGAGTTTGGGAACATCTCAGATAAGGGAAAGAAGCAAGAGGTCTTGAAGAACGAGGAGCTAAGAGGTGTTTAAGAAAAAAAGCACTTTCTGCCCTTGCCATTCTTGAGGGAGCCTGAAAAGGCCTCTGCCCATGCTGGCAGAGTTTATCCAAACCAAAAATAGAACACAAAACCGGGACGGGCATAAAACAAGGGACTTCACACGCCAGGGCAAAGGGAAATGGAGAGGGAGGATGATGAGGCAGAAAGAACAGAGAATCAGAGAACCGGAATTTGAGTCGTAACTCCACTAAAGTCTTTGGGCAAAGCACTCTCTTCACCTCAGGTTACTTATCTGTAAAATGGGAACAACTAAGTACCTTTACTTAGAAGTCGTAGAAACAGAAAAATTATTTGCTGGACCAGAGTAATACTTCTTATGTAGTGTTACTGGGGACTGCTGGAATCTGGCTGCTCTGAGCCCTTAAGAACTGCCTGTTCCTGTCACACCTACAGTAAGGACGAAATGAGATCACACATGTGGAAGTATGGAGAGTAAACAGATCACTGAACATACAGAATGCCCTAGAGAAGTCAGCAGGCAGCATAAATAAAAGGGGCCAGGTGTAGTGGCTCACATCTATAATCCTAACACTTTGGAAGACCAAGATATGAGGATCACTTGAACTCCAGGAGTTCAAGATCAGCCTGGGGAACACAGTAGGACCCTGTCTCTACCAAAAAAAAGAAAAAAATCAAATAATTAGCTGGCATGATGGTACATGCCTATGGTGCCAGCTACTCGGGAGGCTGAGCTGGGAAGATCACTTGAGCCCAGGAAGTCGAGGCTACAGTGAGCTGTGATCATGCCACTGCACTCCAGCTTGGGCAACACAGTGAGATCTTGACCAAAAAAAGAAAAGAAAAGAAAGGGATCTTGAATGACTGGGGGACATTCACACCGCAGAGGAAAGATTCTGTACAGGACATCTAATCCTGAGAAAACTGCCTGGCTGCTACAGGGGTAGGAAGGCAGGACACTGGGGGCCCCAGGTCAAATTCCTCAAGGTAAACTCTCCGGCTTCTTCCAAGGCACAGACCCTAGAACTCACTTCACACCAGAATACACAGTACTCTCCTGCTCCCCTACTCCCCCTACTGACAGCAGGCAGGAGGGCCCTTCCTCATGAGCAAGGCAGCTCCGGGGTCACCAGCTACTCTAGGTTTCCACCATAATTGTATATGGCTCAGTTCCCAGCACTGCTGATCTGAGCCAGGTTTCCAAGCTGTGCTAACCATCAAGTCGGCCCTTCTCCAAAACTTCCTTCCTTGACTGCTCTTCCCCCAACCCTCAGTAAAATAAGGACTGACTGGGGAGAAGTGAACTATCATGTCCAGAGAAACAATTTGCTTCAACTTGGATCTTGCTTCCAGCTGGATCATAAAGACTAAGACAGGCTCCTAGGAACCCACAGGGTGGGCCAGGGCCTCCCACATTAACCGCACCCACTACACACCATGAACCAGCCAGTGAGATTCCACTCTGTTCTTAGCCATCATGCTACACTGCCTTCTGAGGTTCTGTCTCGGGATTATGGCTCTGTAGCCCTGGGATGGCATTTCTCAAACCGAGTTCCTCATCTTCCCACAAGTGAATATCCAATCAGGACAGAGGGACAAGAAGAAACCCACACTCACTCCCTCAGCAGTCCTGCCGGGCATCTGCCAGTGCCCCGGGGTCCCATGGATACACCTTCACTCCCCTGCTCTTGTCACAAGTCAGTACCCCCAGTTCTGAGACTCTTCCCCTGTGTCTGGGTACCCCACCCCGCTCCCCTGCCAGCCCAGCCCCGTCTCCTGGCCGCACCGAAGTTGTTGGTGGGGTAGCGCTTGCGGAGCCGCTCCGTGAGCCGGGACACCTTGCTGCGCAGCACCTCATTCTTGCTCAGGAACCCGTTGTCCTGCAGGGCCAGCTCGTCCTCTGCTGGGCACGGAGCGCCCTCATCATCCTCCTGCGGGAACAGCTCCTTCCAGTCCTGCCCACCTCTTGTGAGGCTGCAGGACCCGTGTGCACAGGCACCCGGCACAGCAGACCCCACGAGGTGTGGCGGCAGCCGGCTCAGCCACCCTCCCCAGCCCAGCCCCTGCCCACCCACCAAGGCTTCCACTTACCAGCACCACCAAGTGGGTCTCCTGCCTCCCAAGGTGCGGGGAAGAGGAGAGAAAACAGAGAGAAAAAGATAGCAAGAAGAAAGAAGCCGCCTGGAGGAAGCCCCCAAGCAGAAAGAAGCATGGAAGCGCTGCTCTGAGCTCTGCGTACTTCCCAAATGGTGACCTTGACAGATGACCCCCGAGAGGATCCCAGCATCAAACAGCCTTGGAGACAGCTGGGTACCACTGTTTCTCAAACTGGGTGAAACTAATTTAGTGGGTCTTTATTTGAATAGAACAGAAAAGGAAAGAAAATATCCCTTACAACGTACTTTGAGGAAACTTTCATTTCCCTTAAGCTTTACATATTTTATGGACCTAAGTGTGAACTGGGTCAAGAGGCAAAATGTGTTCCTTACTATGGGTCAGGGCCAAAAATGCTGAAAGCCCTGCTCTACATATCCCCCAACCAAGATTCACAGTCTACAATCACGAATCAAAGTTCTGGAGCAATCTTTTAGCCACCAAAAAGTCAAATGCCTGCATGGCCTGGGCTGACATATGATTGAGGTAAGTCCAGGTAAATCACAGGCCTGGTGGAAATCCACAAGGTGTATTTCTTATATCTCAATTTCCCACTTCACAAAGAGAAATAAATAAAGAGAAATGATATCCTGCTCTAAGAAAAACAAAAACACAAATGTGACAAATGGCAACCACCACCTGACCTCAGTGACAAGACACAGCAGGGGGTGTTGAGGACCACCTGTATCCACAACATGTGACCTGCCTAAAGGGAACAGCAGCTCCTCTGCTATACCGACTGCTGTAGACTCAGGGCTACCAGAGAAACTGGAAACCTACAGTTCTAACAAAAATCTCCCCATATTTAAACATTGGCTCAAAAAAATTATTTTGAAACTTTGCATGCCAAATAAAACACTTCTGCAAACTCCCAGTTTGATTTACCATCCTAAAATCAAGAAGGCTGTTTACCTTCCTCTGACCTAGCACTTGGCCATGCAACTACTTTCTCCAACCTCCCCTCCCGCCCTGCAAACGGACATCTTATGGAACTCATTCTACAGAAGGGCAGAGACCCAGGGGCAGTAGCTTCCTCAAAGACTGCCTTTCCGACATCAAAGGCACCAAACCCACGGTCTCCAGCAAAGGCTAGAAATCATCCAGCTCCCCCAGCAGGGCATTTCCCAGAGACTTCCAGAGCCACTCTTGCCCTGGGAACACAGGAGAGCTGGCTCAACCAGAAACAGGAGCCCCCAGGGAGGGGTTCAGTGGCACCCTTTCAAACAGTGAGTTCTAGCTCACAGCAAGTTTTAGCTTCTCATGTGGACATTAAAAATAAAATAAAATAAAAAACAGCTCCAGGACCACCCAATTTCTGGCCTGCTCAGTAGAGGAAGCTGGGGAGGGGCCACCCACCTCAATTGCATCTTTAAACTCTTCATCTGGCTCAGCCTCCTCAGCTTCCTCCACGCTGCCCGGTGTGAGGTCCTGGGAAGAAAGACTCTATGACAGAAGGAGAAGGATGGCAGCACTGCTCCCTGAGACAGAGGACCAGCTCCCCAAGCCAGCATCCAAGCTACCCAAAACACCAGGAAATGGCACAACTACAAGAAAGAAGGAAATCCCAGGAAGGAGCAACCTCTAGCCTGGCAGGGCACGGGAGATGGAAACAAGAGCACAGTGGGCTCTACAGTGGCGGTATCGCACAGTGGTTGGGGGCATACGCTCTAGAACCATAGGGCTGGGGTCTTAGACCCAGCCCTGCCACTTACTAGCCTCTCTGTGCCTCAGCCTTCTATTCTACAAATGAGAATGGTCTCTTTCTCAGAAATAACCAGCCTGGCACAGTGGCTCACACCTGTAATCTCAGCACTTTGGGAGGCCGAGGCAGGCCCATCATTTGAGCCCAAGAGTTAGAGATCAGCCTGGACAACGGGGCAAAACCCCCTCTCCACTAAAAATACAAAAAAATTAGCTGTGCGTGGTGGCACACACCTGCAGTCCCAGCTACCCAGGAGGCTGAGGTAGGAGAATTGCCAGAGCCCAGGAGGTGAAGGTTATAGTGAGCCATCAATGCCCCACTGCACTCTAGCCTGGGCAACAGAGGGAGACCCTGTCTCAAAAAAAAAAAAAAAAAAAAGAAAGAAAAGAGAAGAAAAAATCTACACTCTATGATGTGAATATCTATCCATAAAGCACTTAAGAATGGCATCTGACACAGGGTAAGCACTCAATGAAGCATGGGTAGCTGCTGTTATTACAATTATCATTATTAAGCACTTCAGGGGAGATAAGGCCTGGGAAACAGCAGGGACTACAACAGAGGCCAGCCCAGGAGCTATAAACAAGCTAATAATAGGGGGGCCCGCAAGCTGCCACAGCAGGCTCTGCCCTGACAGTCAGTGGCACCTACCTCCGTGGGTGTGAGGGCAGGCGTGCTGTCCATCAGATCACCCTTCCCCCCAAAATCTGGTGGTGGAGGGCTCTCAAAGGCATGCTCTTCCTGCTTGGGGTTCATCCGCCGCTGCAGAGATGCCCTATACTCAGACACAACTACCCAGGGAATGAAGAACAAGGTAGGAGGCAAAAATGAGACACTATGAGTGGCACTTTGGGGGTGCCCACTTCTGCAGCTGGCTGGCCTCTCTTCCCTCCACTGCAGGAAAGAGTCACCCTCCTAACTCTTAGAGAGTCACCTAACCCAAGCCTCTTAAACAAAACTTAGAAACCACCACCTGCCCCAGACCGCTAGACAGATTAAATGTAGTAAATGCTTGATAAATCATGGCTTCTGTAATTAATTACTCTACCACAGGGAGGAAAACAAATACAGCAATCACCCCAACAAACATATGTACAGACTCAGGCCTCTGTGACTCAGGGCCTCTCCAGACTGCCTCAGCGCTTTAGAAGCCAGATGACAGAAGGAAACTCTGGTCTCACACAGAGACGTGGCAGCAACTCCAGGTGGCTGCACCCCAGGGGATGGGTGGCAGCTTTGGGAAAACATCCTTCCCTCATCTTCCAGAAGCCATCATATCATGTAAGCAGTGATCCATCTGCCTTGGGAAGGGAAGGAGGGGAGATGGGAGCCCAACGGTGGCAGCCTCCCCTGGTGAGATTCCAGCTTCATCTAACATCTCAGAGCCCATGAGAGAGGACCCTAGTGTGGTGCTGACCCTCATGGAAGCACAGCAAGCTGATGATTAGCTATAGAGACAGAAGAACTGGGGAGCCTAGCCCAGCCCTCAGAGCCAGCCTGGGCCCTGTCTCTCTCAGGCCTTCCAGAGCTTACCTCGGAAGAACTCCACATTCCCCAGAAAGAGCGTGCTGTTTAAAAGGGCGAGGACCCAGCAGAGTGGCAGCAGATACAGCATGCAGACCATGCCCAGAAGAGCCCCATAGAACCTGGATGACAGGGAAGAACCACAAGATCAGAAATTCATAACAGCAGCAGGAGATGAATTTGGAGCACACCCACAGAGGGTTCCAGGTGAGACATAGCTCTGGACACATTAATAAACCGACAAGAGCCACTCATCAAACCAGTAGAAAATGGCGATGAAGTCTGAGAACTAGCACCCAGTTGCCGGTGCGAACACCTGATGCTGGTGAGGCCGAGGTGGTGTCAGCTGGGGGCACATAAACTGGTTCAACCACCATCACTCCTCAAGGTCTACACCAGGCATCCCCAAACTTTTTTTTTTTTTTTTTTTTTTTTTGAGACGGAGTTTCGCTCTCGTTACCCAGGCTGGAGTGCAATGGCGCGATCTCGGCTCACCGCAACCTCCGCCTCCTGGGTTCAGGCAATTCTCCTGCCTCAGCCTCCTGAGTAGCTGGGATTACAGGCACACGCCACCATGCCCAGCTAATTTTTTGTATTTTTAGTAGAGACGGGGTTTCACCATGTTGACCAGGATGGTCTCGATCTCTTGACCTCGTGATCCACCCGCCTCGGCCTCCCAAAGTGCTGGGATTACAGGCTTGAGCCACCGCGCCCGGCATCCCCAAACTTTTTGCACAGGGGGCCAGTTCACTGTCCCTCAGACCGTTGGAGGGCCGCCACATACCGTGCTCCTCTCACTGACCACCAATGAAAGAGGTGTTCCTTCCTGAAGTGCAGCGCGGGGCCGGATAAATGGCCTCAGGGGGCCGCATGCGGCCCATGGGCCGTAGTTTGGGGATGCCTGGTCTACCCTCTGAAGTCTAGAGTAAAACAGACTGGGATTGGAAGCCAGCTCTGCCACTTCTCATTCTGAGAAGTCTCTTGGTTCTCCGGGCATGGCTCCCTTCCCATGTAAGATGGGGACTGAAGTAGTGCCTACCAACAGAGTTACCAGGAAGAGTGAGATAATACAGAGGCAGTGTTGCACAGTGCCTGGCACCAGGTGAAGACAGCAAACATTAGTTATCACTATTATTCACATTAAAGAGCCTCAAAAACATTCCTTCTGTTTGATATGGTAGTTTCATCCTTGAATTTAAGAAAAATTTTCCAAAAGATTAAAGCTAAATCCACAAAAATGTTTACCACAAAGTCAGTAATGAAAAGAGAAACTGACTAAATCTATAACAGAATGGCTCCATAAACTGTATTCACCATCTATATTAATCTGGTATTATAAATAATTCCGAAGGCTATACAGCAACAAAGAAAATCATCTTTAATATAATACGTGGGAAAAAAAAGAAAAACTGAAAGTATACTATGAAGCTATACATCTATAAATTAGAGGCAAATGACAAACTCTAGCAAGCAAGCCAAACATGAGATTCGGCTGCATGGTGGATTACATGTTGAGTTATTCTCTTCTATTATTAAAATATTTTTACCACACATAAAAGAAAGCGTCTAAACAAAAGCAGTGCATTAGAGCCCACAAGCATATATGCAGATATACACACAAGAGCCCAGGAGGCGAGCTCTTCCCCTGAGATAGGAGGAGCAGAGGTCATCTCAAGGCAGCTGGCTTTGCTCAGGCTCAAGCTGCAAATTCCTATAGACTACTGGGGGCAGAGAAGGGGTCACTCACTGTGAGGACACGACGGGGTTCTCCCAGTGCAGCACGCGGTAGGCGGCTTCACAGGTGCAGCAAAGGCGGCTCAGGAAGGCCTCCAGCTGGATCAAGCTACAGACACAAGGGCTTTGGTGAGTGGGCAGGACAGAAGTTCTGGGAAGTGGAGCCTGGGGCCTTGCAAGGTGCAGCTGGCTAGGGATGGCCAATCTCTTTAAACACACTCACCATGTGTTTAAGGAGAGAGGGGTTGAGAGAGCATGGGAGAAAAGGGCCTGGCTAAGCCACCCCAACTACATTCCAGTCCCCTTTTTGGAGGCTCCTGCTGAGGTAGGAACAGTATAAATGTCCTGCTTTGGTCTCTTCCTAGCTGTTGATGTCAGGCAGGCCACTGAACTTTTCCAGGGCTGTAGTTTCTGCATCTATCAAACGAGGATCAGAGGACCCATCTCAAGGGTACACAGCAGCTGTCAGGATAAATGGCATGATATTCTCCACCTGGGAGGTGAAACAGACTCACTTGGGGAGTTCTGGTTGTTGCTTTTTTAAAACACAGATAAACCACAGAAGCCTTGAACACAGTCTGAACCCAGATCTGGGTTCTGAAGGGTTCCTTGGAGACAAGCTGATTCCAGGGCTGGGGCAGGGAAGTATAAGATGAGTATGAACATCCTGTTGTACCATAAAGTAAGGAAACACTCAAAAATGATGGGGACAATGCAAACAAGAGTCAACTCAGAAGAGCTCCAACTGGCCAAATTTAGGACAATTTGAGATCAAAATAAATAATGACAGCAATAGATTCTAACTCATCAAATAAAATATAAATCTATGAGTTCCGACTCATAATAAAAAAGGAAGAACTTTCTTATAATAGAAAGCCAGCTTAAAAAAAAAAAATGTAGATAGAATGACAATTAGAAAATCACCTTTCCCGGTGGCTCACGCCTGTAATCCCAGCACTTTGGGAGGCCGAGGCGGGTGGATCACGAGGTCAAGAGATCAAGACCATCCTGGTCAATATGGTGAAACCCTGTCTCTACTCAAAATACAAAAAATTAGCTGGGCATAGTGGCGCGTGCCTGTAATCCCAGCTACTCAGGAGGCTGAGGCAGGAGAATTGCCTGAACCCAGGAGGCGGAGGTTGCAGTGAGCCGAGATCACGCCATTGCACTCTAGCCTGGGTAACAACAGCGAAACTCCATCTCAAAAAAAAAAAAAGAAAGAAAGAAAGAAAGAAAATCACCTTTGCAACCATCATAGTAATAAACTGATTAAGGCTGGGCGCGGTGGCTCACACCTGTAATCCCAGCACTTTGGGAGGCCGAGGCGCGTGGATCACGAGGTCAAGAGATCGAGACCATTCTGGTCAACATGGTGAAACCCCGTCTCTACTAAAAATACAAAAATTAGCTGGGCATGGTGGCACACGCCTGTAGTCCCAGCTACTCGGGAGGCTGAGGCAGGAGAATTGCTTGAACCCAGGAGGCAGAGGTTGCAGTGAGCCGAGATCGTGTCATTGCACTCCAGCCTGGGTAACAAGAGTGAAACTCCATCTCAAAAAATTAAAAAAATAAATAAATATATAAACTGATTAACATATTAATCCATAGACCCATCTATGGATTTTAAAGCAGTGGGTAAATGTTTGATGAAGAACAAGATATTTTCATAGTCTCAATATATCTCCCCTCAAATTACTACAAATGAAGAGTAAAATGATAATTTACACTATGGATGCCTTCATCAAGTGATCAAAGTCAGTATTTCCTGACATCATGTGCCTCCTGACATGGATGCACTGAACACGACACATCACTTGTCACACTCCTAAATCTAATCACAAGGAATCAAACAATCCAAAAATGAGGGAGATTCTACAAAATAATAAGCTTAAACTATTCAAAAATATCAAGGTCACAAGAAACAAAGACTGAGGAACTGCTCCAGGTTAAAGAAGACTAATGAGACATAAAAAAATTAAACATGATGTATAACCCTGGATTGGATCCCAGATCAAGGAAACTGATACAAAGAACTTTATTAGGCCACCCGCACTGGCTAATACCTGAAGTACCAGCACTTTGGGAGGCTAAGGTAGAAGGACTGCTTGAGCCCAGGAATTCAAGGCCAGCCTGGGCATGACAGTGAGACCCCATCTCTACAAAAAAAAAATTTTTTTTTTATTTCTTTTTTATTTTTTATTTTTATTATTATTTTTTTTGAGACAGAGTTTCGCTCTTGCTACCCAGGCTGGAGTGCAATGGCGCGATCTCGGCTCACTGCAACCTCTGCCTCCTGGTTTCAGGCAATTCTCCTGCCTCAGCCTCCTGAGTAGCTGGGATTACAGACACGTGCCACCATGTCCAGCTAATTTTTGTATTTTTAGTAGAGACGGGGTTTCACCATGTTGACCAGGATGGTCTCGATCTCTTGACCTCGTGATCCACCCACCTCGGCCTCCCAAAGTGCTGGGATTACAGGCATGAGCCACCGCGCCCAGCCAAAAAAATTTTTTAATTAACAGGGCATAGTGGCATGTGCCTGTGGTCCCAGCTACTCAGGAGGCTGAGGCAGGAGGATCACTTGAGTCCAGGAGGTCAAGGCTGCAGTGAGCCATGGTCATGCCACTGCACTCCAGCCTGGATGACAGAGCAAGACCCCGTCCCGAAAAATAAAAAATAAAGAAAATTAATAAAAGAAAAAGAACTTTATTAATACAACTGGTAAAATCTGATTGTGAATTATACATTAGATAATACTACTGTTAATGTTATCAATGTTAAGTTTCCTAATTTTGTTTACAGTTCTGTGGATATGTAAGAGAATGTCCTTGTTCTTAGGAAATCCATGCTGAAGTATTTGGGGTAAACAGTCATATTTGCAACTTACTTTCAAATGGTTTAGGAAAATGAAAATAATGTGTATATGTAGAGAGATAGACAATGCCAATATGGCAAAATGTTAATAATTGTTCTATCTAGGTAAAGGGCACACGGGAGTTCTTTGTGTTATTCTTGCACTTCTTTAATTTTAAAACATTTCAGGCCAGGGGCAGTGGCTCATGCCTGTAATCTCAGCACTTTGGGAGGCCAAGGCAGGCAGAACACTTGAGGCCAAAGTTCAAGACCAGCCTGGCCAACGTGGTGATTGTCTCTACTAAAAATACAAAAATTAGCTGAGCATAGTGGCACATGTAATCCCAGCTACTCTGGAGGCTGAGGCACAAGAATCGCTTGAACACAGGAGGCAGGGGTTGCAGTCAGCCAAGATCACACCACTGCATTCCAGCCTTTGTGACAGAGCAAGACTGTGTCTTTTTAAAAAAAAAAAAAAAAAGCATATATATATAAAATAAAACTATTTCAAAGTAAGAAAGTCTTTTTTAAAAACTACATATCCACGACTGGGCATGGTGGCTCAGCCTGTAATCCCAGCACTTTGGGAGGGTGAAGTGGGCAGATTACCTGAGATTCAAGACCAGCCTGGCCAACACGGCGAAACCCCATTTCTACTAAAAATGCAAAAATTAGCCAGGCGTGGTGGCACACGCCTGTAATCCCAGCTACTCAGGAGGCTGAGGCAGGAGAATTGCTTGAGCCTAGGAGAAAAAGGCTGCAGTGAACCAAGATCATGCCACTGTACTCCAGCCTGGCAGACAGAGCAAGACTCTGTCTTAAAAAAAAAAAAAAAATACATATCCAAGCCCCACTCTAGATAACTGACTCAGAATTTCTGCGGTGAGGCCCAGACATCTGTTTGTTCATAACTTTTCTTTCCCCTACTGTATCTTAAGAGAATGCACAGACCCCACTCCAGGGAAGGGAGGAGTAAATGCCCACTGCTACTGAAGTTGGTAGTTTAATGCTTCCTCAAAAGTACCAGCTCTGTCATGTTTAGGAAGTTTCTCCACAGTGTAGTGATGATGACTAATATCTACTCAACACTTCCCAGTAACAAACACCTGTTCAATCTTCACAACCACCTTGTGAGTAAGTCCTGTTATTATCCTATTTAACAGATGAGAAATCTGAGACAGAGAAGGCTAAGTAACTTGCCCAATGTTACACAGCAAATAAATGGAAGAGCTGGGGTGTGACATGCAGCACATGCTTAGTCCAGACCCTAACCTGTCTCTCCAGCAAAAGAACACAGGCTGTAAAACAGCTAGATCTAGATTCCCATCCCAGCTTGGTCACTTTCTAGCTAAGTCAGTCAGCCTTTTTCTTCACCCATTTATGGAAGATATAAATGGAAGATATTAATACTAGCTACCTCTCAGAACTGTTAAAAAGACTAACTAACAGCTGTGGTTTGCCTACTACAATATCTGGCACACACAGCTAGCACTCAGTGTCACGGCTGCTGTTATTGTTCCCCCACCTCCCTGGCCTCTCTTCCATACTCACAAGCTCTTCACCTCAGCCACAGCCTCGGGGCGAGACAGGCGCACTCTCTGCAGGTCCTCCTGCCTCACGCTATGATACTTCCTCCGCATCAGCTCGGACTCGGGCAGCCGTGCCCGGCAAACCTCCTGAAGGTAGCCCAGCAGGGCGGGCACTGAAATCATCAGGGCACCTACTGAGTACCATGCACCTAGAGAATCAAAAACACTGCAGGTAACACAGGTAAGCAAGGACCAGGAGTTGGCCCACCCAGACACCCACTGCTTGTTCCTCACCTCCTCCAGCTCTCTGCCAGTCAGACTTTCCTGATGGCCCGTATGACACAGTGTCTCACGCCTACTCTCCAGCCCCCTTAACCCAGCTTCACTCCTCATAGACCTTATCACCACATGACACATTACAGGCATGTCTGCTGTCTCCTCTACTGAAGTAAGCTCTTGAGGGCTGGGACTTTGTCCCTTTGGTCACTGCTGTGGCCCCAGCCTCACTTTTAATACATTTTAAGATGCTGCTAGCACACAGTCAGAGGCTCATGCTGCAGTATGATTGCCAGGAGCTCCTGCTGACTGACATTCGGACCTCTGGGCCACTAAGGTAGCCTGGAAGCCTTTCCTTTGGCTTTTAGCACACCACAGATGACTGTCTCGAGAAACGGTAAGGCCGAGATAAAATTCAAAGAAGGAACTTCTTCCATGCAATATGGTACAACAGCAAGCTAACAGAGCAGCGGGCCCATAATAAATGCTTATTAAATATCTGTCATGGGAACTGATTTACTTTGGGAGCATATATAGAAAAAATCAAACATTCTAGGAAGTTCTGAACAGGTAAAGATGAATCCAACTAAGAAACAGAAAATGAGATCCTGTATGAACTGGATTTATTTTCAGCCTCCTCAGTCTCTACCTCCAGAGGAAACAAAGAAGACACCTGAGAAATACAAGGTCAACATAAGAACGAAAACATGAATAATGGTCCAACTCCTCTGAACATTCTGTTCCAGACTTTATTCTGACCCTGAGGGGTTTGGCTTTTTGTATAGCCATCTGCCAGCTTCAACCATGGACAGGGTAGGATCAGAGCATGCACCGTAGTAAGAGGTTCATAGGCTACACTATCCAGGACCCCAATAGACACCTATGTGTCCACACTTCTATCTCAAAGGCTTCATGCCACTCCTTACTGCTGGTGACTGCCCAGCAGCTCCCGCTAGGCTCACTGGCTAAACCAGAGAAAAGCAACAGATATGGCAGAAATCCCTTATCAGCTCCTCTCCCCTCTACCTTTACCCATGCCATGTCCCCAGATGACCCCTGAATCAGCTGGAAAACCAAAATGGAAAAAGGTCAATGCATCCCCAGCAGGCGGTCAAGGAAACAATAATATTGAGAGCAGCTCCAATGCACTGGCTGCCTATTCCATGCCAGGCACTGTGCTAAGTATGATGCCGCATTCCTCACAAATACTCTAGGAGGAAAGCAGCATTTTTATCCTCCTGTTAGAGATAAGGAAAATTAGGAGTAACAGGGAAGTTCATAATTTGCCCAAGGTCACAGCAGGCGGCTCAGCCTGGATTGTCCCTCTGGAGCCTGTTTCTGACTCCAAGCAGACACAGAGGAAAGCTAACTCCAGGGCAACAAGAGCAGCTCCCGCACACAGGGCGGGCTACATCCAGGTGTCCTTCCCCCACATTCATTCACAAAAACCACTGGCCCCTGGAGGCAGTTCTTACCCTCATTCAAAGTGAGGAACAAGATGTTGAGGCCCAGGCAGGTCAGCAAGGAACACAAAGGCATCTGCCACCTACAACACAGAGAGTCCTGATCACTACAGAGAGCCACACCTCCAGCCAGGGAGGGGAGACCGGGAGGCGCAGATGGGACATGAAACCAGAAGAGGAGGCCTGGAACACAGAAGGTCAAGGAGAAATGAAAAGGGGGCCTCTCACTTGGACTGGTGATCACGAGAGGTGGTGACAGGTCACACATTAGCACCTGGGGTAAGAGAACTGGAAGGTCTATAGTGCCTTCTCCCAAAAGGAAGAAGAATTCATAAAATATCAGTTAAGATACCCAGTTAATATCATTTAAACTGTGTTTTGTAAGGTCATAGTCTCCTCAAGAGGTGACACTAACAAAGTTCTTAATACTTTCCTCTATTTTTTTTTCATAATTTCATAAGACTGTATAATCATTGCACAAGATTCAACTAATACAGAAATCAAGAAAGAACAAATCGTAACTTCTTTGAGCCCGTTTGTGCCTTTATCTTCTTAGGTCCATGATTTTGAAAGTTTGAGAGTTTATCTGAAAGTTTATTTTGAACACCTATTAATTCAAAAGGAGAAAAAATAATAAAGATTTTATTTTAATATATTAAAAACCAAAATGAAAGTAGGGTGCAGCATTCACTTAGCAATCACACCTTAAGTGAGCTGGAACAGACAGAAGCAAACACAGATACAGCCACTGCCACCACCAAATGGCAATGCAGAGGCCCCCAAAGAGGGAAGAAGACCAGAGACTCAAGTTGCTGAGAACAAGCAAATGCGCTAGCCCCATCCCTGATAAAGGACATTTAGTAGGGAAAGAGGAGCACATATGCAACAATGAAGCCACGAGGCCCAGATTCTAAAGACAGTGTCAGTATGCAAGGTGAGCCATCAGAGGTGAGAGACAAATATCATAAAAATAAACAGGCAAATTTCTGGCAAGCAAAGCATTAAATGCATTTTTTTTCTTGTTCTTTTGAGACAAAGTCTGACTCTCATCACCCAGGCTGGAGTGCACTAGCACAATCTTGGCTCACTACAACCTCCGCCTCCCGGGTTCAAGCGATTCTCCTGCCTCAGCCTCCCTAGTAGCTGGGATTACAGGTGCCCATCACCACGCCTGGCTAATTTTTGTGTTTTTAGTAGAGACAGGGTTTCACCATGTTGGCCAGGCTGTTCTCGAACTCCTGACCTCAGGTGATCTGCCTACTTTGGCCTCCCAAAGTGCTGGGATTACAGGGGTAAGCTACTGTTCCAGGGCTAAATATATTTTCTTGTGCTCTAATTGGAGTATTTCAGAGTTACTCAATGAGGTTAACTAATTTATGTAGGGTTTTTACTTTTTTTTTTTTTTTTTTAATACTTTAAGTTCTGGGATACACAAGTAGGACGTTCAGGTTTGTTACATAGGTATACACGTGCCACGGTGGTTTGCTGCAGCCATCAACCCATCATCTACATTAGGTATTTCTCCTAATGCTATCCCTCCCCTAGCCTCCCATCCCCCGACAGGCCCTGGTATATGATAGTCCCCTTTCTGTGTCCATGTGTTTTCATTGTTCAACTCCCACTTATGAGTGAGAACATGTGGTGTTTTGTTTTCTGTTCCTGTGTTAGTTTGCTGAGAATGATGGTTTCTAGCTTCATCCATGTCCCTGCAAAGGACATGAACTCATCCTTTTTTATGGCTGCATAGTATTCCATGGTATATATGTTACCACATTTCCTTTATCCAGTCTATCATTGATGGGCATTTGGGTTGGTTCCAAGTCTTTGCTATTGTGAATAGTGCTGCAATAAACATGTGTGATGTGTCTTTATAGTAGACTGATTTATAATCCTTTGGGTACCCTCTTATATTCAGTAATGGGATTGCTGGGTCAAATGATATTTCTGGTTCTAGATCCTTGAGGAATCACCGCACTGTCTTCCACAATGGTTGAGCTAATTTATACTACTACCAACACTGTAAAGGGGCTTTTACTTTTTAATAAAATTCATGAGTAAGGGAATGAAATGACATCTCTGCCTTGCTCCTGAAATTCAACACACTCCACCTGTACCACCCTAATTAGGCCTCAGAACCTCTAGTGGCAGCTACCAGGGTAAACAGAAATAAAAGCCAATCCGATCTTGGAAATAAATACATCACACCACCACTGAAGTCACTTTCATTTTAACACCTCTTCCCTTCTATCCAATGTCTTTACTGACACTTTGGTCCCAGAAGACCCACGTAGTAGAGTAGCTGATCCCAGGAGAGAGTCTGTTAACAATTTACTGCAGCTCTAGGCTTCAGACCTAATAGCTAGAGGCCAAGATTAGGTCCCTCTTCAAAGTCAAATCCTCTTTACCAAGAAAAGAACAATCAAAAGCACAAACTAATGTGACAGCCACTTTCACAGACCAGTGCTCCCTCTCGCAGCAGCACAGAAACCACAGGCTCCTGAGGGCTTTTAGGTCCAATGCTCCTCCTGCATCCAGCTTTAACCAATCCTACCACATCCTCCAATTTCTAATTCCATAAAATGGAAAAAAACTAACATATTAGTGAGCTAAGAAGGACTACAGACCAATAGAGGAAAAGCAGAAGGGCAGGGCGGGATATACTTCACTTTCATACTTTGCCACAAAAGGGCAATACACACACATACAAAGAATGTCCCAGGGAGCACAGGCTCTTCAAGGAAAACCAAACTTCACAACATGCTGAGATTATAAAAGCCCTTCCTCATACTATGTCCCTACCCCTTGTGCCAAGAGCACAGTGATCTTACAGTACAGACCACAGCTCTGCAACACTGACTAGCTCACCTCTACAGATACTGACATAAACTAGGTGAACAAGAAAAATGTAGGGCCTTGGCCAGAGAACTAGTAACAAACCATCCACTATTTCCAGACTGATGGCAGACTCAATGGTATCCTTGGAAGTTAACCTAACTCCACTCACCCTGCTTCCTACCAGTCTCTCTCCAGTATTTTAGAGGTTTGAGGGTCTTTATGAGAATCTGATGAAAACAAGCAGCTTTTCCCTAGAAATATACACATGTGCAGACACACAATTTTACATGCAGTTTCAGGGGACTCACTGATCCCTAAAAGCCACCCATAGGCTCCAAGTTAAAAACCTCTGCTCGCCGGGCACGGTGGCTCAAGCCTGTAATCCCAGCACTTTGAGAGGCCGAGGCGGGTGGATCAGGAGGTCGACAGATCGAGACCATCCTGGTCAACATGGTGAAACCCCGTCTCTATTAAAAATACAAAAAATTAGCTGGGCATGGTGGCTCGTGCCTGTAATCCCAGCTACTCAGGAGGCTGAGGCAGGAGAATTGCCTGAACCCAGGAGGCGGAGGTTGAGGTGAGCCAAGATCGCGCCATTGCACTCCAGCCTGGGTAACAAGAGCGAAACTCTGTCTCAAAAAAAAAAAAAAAAAAAAAAAAACTCCGCTCTTTAGGACAGTCAGGTTTCTGTGTGACTCCTGATGCAATGCAGTATCAGGAACACAACATTAACCTTTGCCAAAAAAAACAAAAAGCTTTTCTAACTTGAATTGAATCCAACCTTTTTTTTGGAGATAAGAGTCTCACTCTGTCACCAGGCTGGAGTGCAGTGGCACGATCTTAGCTCACTGCAACCTCGGCCTCCCAGGTTCAAACGATTCTCCTGCCTCAGCCTCCTGAGTAGCTGGAACTAACTACAGGTACACGCCACCACACCCAGCTAATTTTTGTATTTTCAGTAGAGATGGGGTTTCACCATGTTGGCCAGGATGGTCTCAATCTCTTGACCTTGTGATCCACCTGCCTCGTCCTCCCAAAGCGCTGGGATTACAGGCTTGAGCCTCCGTGCCCGGCCACAATCTAACCTTTAAATCTAACTTCTAGTCTGCACCACAAGGAAGAAACCAGACAAATCTCGGTAGTAAATTCTCCAGGACAGTCAGTTCAGGCTCCGCCTCTTCAGCAAGTTAATGTCATGAGAGAGATTGTTTTAGACTGAAAAAGACTTAAAAGACAATAACTACAAACAATGCACAGTCCTGGACTGAAATGTGATTTAGCCAAAGAGATTGTACAACTGAGGAAATGGAATATGAACTGAATATAGGATGATATCAAGGAGTTATTATTAATTTTGTTAGGTATGATATTACTTTGATTTTGAAAGAAATGTCCTTATTTAGAGACAAAAACTGACATATAGGGAATAGAATGCCATATACACAATTTAAAATAATTTTAACATAATAAAATGAGCCAAAAGAAAATTTTTTTTTTTTTTTGAGACGGAGTTTCGCTCTTGTTACCCAGGCTGGAGTGCAATGGCGCGATCTCGGCTCACCGCAACCTCCGCCTCCTGGGTTCAAGCAATTCTCCTGCCTCAGCCTCCTGACTAGCTGGGATTACAGGCAAGCGCCACCATGCCCAGCTACTTTTTTGTGTTTTTAGTAGAGATGGGGTTTCACCATGTTGACCAGGATGGTCTCGATCTCTCAACCTCGTGATCCACCCGCCTCGGCCTCCCAAAGTGCTGGGATTACAGGCTTGAGCCACCGCGCCCGGCTAAAAGAAAATTATAGAGAATGAAAATCAAAGCAGGATAGGAGGGAAAAAAATTAATATCCATAATCTCAATAAATTAGTGAAAATGGGCTGGGCACAGAGGCTCACACCTGTAATCCCAGCACTTTGGGAGGCTGAGGCAGGAGAATTGCTTGAGCCCAACAGTTCAAGACCAGCCTGAGCAACACAGTAAGACCCTATCTCTACAGTTTTTTTTTTTGTTTTTTAATTAGCCAGGTGTGGCAGCTGAGGAAGGAAGATGCTTGAGCCAAGGTGGTTGAGGCTACAGTGAGCCATGATCACACCACTGCATTCCAGCCTGCACATAAGGACAAGATCCTGTCTCAAAAAAAAAAAAAAAGTGAAAATGGTATCTGCTTATTCATAAGTTTTTGTATTTCTTTAACTTTTGTTCAAAATTATACCCTAATTTTTAATATTGATTATGCTAATACTGGGAGCAAAAGAAAACATTAAGATTGCTCCATGCTATAGAAAGCCTAATGTTCAAGGCTATCTAGCAGTCCTGAGGAGTTTATTCAGTCACAAAAAACCTTGCTGAAAGGCAGGATCACTCGCAATGTCTGCTTTTCCTGAGCTGGGCCTGAGACGCAGGGTAGGCCTGGATAAACCCAGAGGTCAAACAGAGCTCCCAGAACTGCTCCTCATTAGGGCAAAAAGGACAGCCAGACACTGCCTAAATGGTCAATGTTAGTTACTACAGAGCAGGAAGGCAGAAGGCACAGCAGACCAGAGCAACTCCACAAGTCTGTACCTGAGCAAGTATCGAACACCATCACCTGCATCCTTCAGGGGTTCCAGGTAGATCTCCAGCCTCTTGTAGGAGAGAACCAAGTCGAAAAGATCAAATGCTGGGGATTTGGTAGGAAAAGGTGGAGACTCCAGGGGAGCCTCGGGCATTACGCTGGGGCTCACCTCCGGCCCACACCCCTCACGTTCTGATGTCTGCATCCTGTAACCATAATAATTCCCAACATTAGCACTGCACATCTAATCCCCAAGACACTTCTACCTACTGCTTCATGTGGTGCCCACAGAAAACCTGTGAGCAAGGCAAAGTGAATTATTCAGATCTAAAATCCTGTTCTTTGGACTCCCCATCCAATGCTCTTTTCCAACACAGACACATCAAAACTAAAAGTTAGCTGGGCAAGGTGGCTCACTCCTGTAATCCCAACACTTTGGGAGGCCGAGGTGGGTGGATCAAGAGGTTAAGAGATCTAGACCAACTTGGCAAACATGGTGAAACCTCGTCTCTACTAAAAATACCCAAAAAATTAGCTGGGCTTGTTGGTGCGTGCCTATAATCCCAGTTACTCGGGAGGCTGAAGCAGGAGAATCGCTTGAATCAGAGAGTCGGAGGTTGCAGTGAGCCGAGATCACGCCACTGCACTCCAGTCTGGCGACGCAGCGAAACTCCGTCTCAAAAAAAAAAAAAAAAAATCATAAAAATCAAGCATAAATGATCGCTGCAGGGAGGCAACCCATGGTCTGAAAAGAAATGATGCCCTGGAACATTTCTGCTCCACTCTTTACCTGGCTAATTCCTACTCATCCTTCATCTATGAGCTTAAACATCACTCCCTTACTCTGGGAAGTCTCTGCCAACACCCTCAAGTCTGGACTGGGAGACCCTCCCCAATGCTCCCAAAGGATCACGTACTGACTCTTAACAGAGCACTTACCACGTCAAAGTAAAACTTCCTACTCTTAACTTTGAGCTGGCCTACATTCACCAGTTTCTGTACACAGTGGGTGCTTAACAAATGCCTGCTGAATGAATGAATGAAATATCGTGCTCCAGGACTCCCGCCCCATCCTCTAATCCAGGCGTCCCCAAACTTTTTACACAGGGGGCCAGTTCACTGTCCCTCAGACGGTTGGAGGGCCACCACATACTGTGCTCCTCTCACTGACCACCAATGAAAGAGGTGCCCCTTCCTGAAGTGCGGCGGGGGGCCGGATAAATGGCCTCAGGGGGCCGCAGTTCGGGGACGCCTCCTCTAATCCTCACTCCCTTCGGTTCCCAACAACTTCCTGGGCCATCTCTGCCCAAGGCAGTCGACATCAGAACGCCCCATTCCCATCTGCCCTCTCTGATGAGGAATCCCAGGAACGCTTACGCTCTTTCCCAGTTCCAAGTCCTGGCTAAGCCGCAAACGAGGGGGCGGAACTTCGGTGAAAAGCAACATAAACCAGTCCCAGGCAACAAGCCGCCAACTGATGGGACTGTGAGGGGATGTGACAAAGGAGCCAAGGAGAGCCCAAAATCCTCGCGGGCCGAGCCAAGGCGAAAAGGGCCCAGAGGGGCGCAAGGTAGGAGCCCAGGAAAGGGTTAGGCAGGTCGGCGCCCACACTGGCCTTGGCCAACACCTCTTCAGCCAAGGGGGCCTGATGGAGCCGGGGAGGCTGGACAGGGAAAGCCACGCCCAAGGTCGCGGGGCCAGCAGGTGGCGGCCCCGGCAGCGCTCAAGCGCCCAACTCCACACAGTCTGCGGAGACACCGGGACGCGGCGGGGGCGGCATCTCACCTACCTGGCCACTGGCTCCGTGAGGGAAGGAGCAGGGTCGGGCAGAAGCAGAGGGAGAGGCACTGGGCCCCAGAGTGTTTCCTCAGGCCAGCCCCAGACGAACACCGCTCCTCCTCCCTGGGCCGTTCGGAAATCACAGGTCCAAAAATCTCCTCCGCCTACGCCGCCGCCATCGCCGCTTCCGGGACGCGACTCACTCTGCGGCTGCGTCCCCATGACGTCATCTCGCCCCGGGTTTTGCTCCGCCCACCCCAGCCCAGGTGAACGCTCTCTCCCGCAGTGCGCCTGCGCTTCTTTCCCCGCGCGCTCCAGGCTGGAGTAAACTCTGTCCTTGGCCGGCAGCGGTTTGCAAAGCCTTGAGGAGCCTCGGCAGTACGTGCTTGGCCACCCTGCACCTCGTTGCCCTGCCTTGCAGTTGGCCAGAGGCTGAACTGAAGAATTTACGACTTCGTCCTCTTTCCTTCCAACTTTGGGACTGAAGTGGGGGGCTGTGAGCCCTGGAAAGGCAGAAACCGTATCCTGTATGAGATGCCCAGCAGACAATTAGGTTGTTTCCTGAGTAGCTACGGTACAAGGTCCTGGGCAGGTTTCTCCCACCTCAGTCCGCTTCACACTGTGTGGCCCAGTTAATTTCCCTTAAAGCACGCATCCCATGGCTTTACATTCGTGACTTAGCGCTCAGATACGGAAGCGCCAAGCACTAAATTGGACTGAGCTCTTTGGGTTTTGGTGGTGCGGGGGGGAGGTTGTTTGTTTTTTGGTTTTGTTTTCTTTTTTTTTTTTTTTTTTTTTTTTTTTTTTTTTTTTTTTTTTTTGAGATGGAGTTTCGCTCTTGTTACCCAGGCTGGAGTGCAATGGCGCGATCTCGGCTCACCACAACCTCCGCCTCCTGGGTTCAGGCAATTCTCCTGCCTCAGCCTCCTGAATAGCTGGGATTACAGGCACGAGCCACCATGCCCAGCTAATTTTTTGTATTTTTAGTAGAGACGGGGTTTCACCATGTTGACCAGGATGGTCTCGATCTGTCGACCTCCTGATCCACCCGCCTCGGCCTCCCAAAGTGCTGGGATTACAGGCTTGAGGGTTTTGTTTTCTTTTTTTTCTGAGACGGAGTTTCACTCTTGTTGCCCAGGCTGGGGTGCAATGACACGATCTCGGCTCACTGCAACCTCCACCTCCTGGGTTCGAGTGATTCTCCTGCCTCAGCTTCCCGAGTAGCTGGGATTACAGGCACGTGCCACCATGCCCAGCTAATTTTTATATTTTTAGTAGAGACGGGGTTTCGCCGTGTTGGCCAGGCTGGTCTCGAACTCCTGACTTCAGGTGATCCATCCACCTCGGCCTCCCAAAGGGCTGGGATTACAGGCATGAGCCACGGCGCCCGGCGAGGGCTGAGCTCTTTGTAGACATCTAGTCCCCCTCCAACAACCCTTAGGGTTGTCACCGTTTTGCAGATGGAGAATCTCAAACATGTTCCGGACCTTCCTCAGTGTTGCAGCTAAGAAGCAACTGGGAGCTGGAATTTGAAGCGTATGTGTCATCTGACCCCAGTGCCCCAACCATACCACCACCCACCTTAGTCTGCATTCCCTGGCCTCCTCCCCTGCCATCCTTCACCTGCCTTTAACTTTAGCCAATTCACCCCTCCATTGTTACCCTCAAGTGCCCCTGGCACTCAAATGTCTGTATCCCTTCCTTGGGTGCCCCAGCTAGAAGTAATCACTTCCCTCTCCAGGCTGGAGTGCAATGGCGCTATCTCGGCTCACCGCAACCTCCGCCTCCCGGGTTCAGGCAATTCTCCTGCCTCAGCCTCCTGAGTAGCTGGGATTACAGGCACATGCCACCATGCCCAGCTAATTTTTTTTGTATTTTTAGTAGAGACGGAGTTTCACCATGTTGACCAGGATGGTCTCGATCTCTCAACCTCATGATCCACCCACCTTGGCCTCCCAAAGTGCTGGGATTACAGGCTTGAGCCACCGTGCCCGGCCTAATTTTTTATTTTTAGTAGAGATGGGATTTCACCGTATTGGCCAGGATGGTCTCGATCTATTGACCTCGTGATCTGCCTGCGACGGCCTCCCAAAGTGCTGGGATTATAGGCATGAGCCACGGTGCTGGGCCTGGTATTCTGTTAAGAAGGGCTGCAAGATGTTACCATTAGGGCGCAGTCTGTGGGATCTCCCTGTTATACTTCTTATAACTATGTATAAATTGACGATTGTCCCCAAAAGAAATGCTCACCCTGTGTAGGGATTTTTCTTACATCTCCCTGCTTTCGCTGACTTTTTCAATTACCTGGCATGTGCCAGTCCCAACATGAGTAAGGTAGGAGGGCTTCTCCTCGGATGAGTTGCTTGGTTGGTTTTTCCAGCTGTAAAATGGGGGTAGCCGTAGTGGTAACCTCAGCTGTGATGAGAATTAAATGAGCTAAAGTGTATAAATTTCTGGCATAAGTGTTCAAAAATAGTTAGCAATCATTGTGATTTTTCTTTTTACTTAAAGCCCTACCACCACCACCCCCAGCCCAAAAATCAGACAAGAATCCATGAAAGGCCAGAATGTAGAAAGATCCAATTCCCACACATATCACTAAGCAGCTATATCTAGAAATCCACTCACCACTCCTTAGAGAAATGGACTCAGCTTTGTGGCTGGGCCAGGCCCATCTGCTGGACTCCTGCTTCTCCTCCCTTAGGATGCATGGGTCTTTTCCCTGAAGACTCCTGGGTCTGTCATGCAGATAGCCTCTGAAGGCCCCTCATTTTCATTTCCTAACCTGACCTCAGGTCTGAATTCCAGAATAGGCTATTACCACTCCCCACCTACTCCCTTCCCACTCCCATCCCCCACCCTGCCCACCCCTCTGTATCTTTCTCAGACCACTCTCTTGCTGGATAGTTTCAGTGGCACCCTGTGACCTCCAGGATAAAACCAAAGCCTGGTGTATTCAGCTCTGGGAGTTCCCAGATGTGTCACACATTCTCCCATTACTGCAACTTTCTACAGATCTACAGACTACTCCCACATTCTTTATTATTACTATTTTTTTCCAAGACAGAGTTTCGCTCTTGTTGCCCAGGCTGGAGTGCAATGGCGAAATCTTGGCTCACTCCAACCTTCACCTCCCAGGTTCAAGCAATTCTTCTGCCTCAGCCTCCCAAGTAGCTGGGATTACAGGCATGCGCCACCACGCCTGGGTAATTTTTTGTATTTAGTAGAGATAGAGTTCCGTCGTGTTGGCTAGGCTGGTCTCACACTCCTGACCTCAGCCTCCCAAAGTGCTGGGATTATAGACTTGAGCCACCACGTCCAGTCCAACATTCTTTAGTTGGCCAGCTCTTATTCTTCCTTCAAAATTCAACTCAGATCCCACTCCTTCAGAAAGACTTCTCTGACACCTACCCCATCATCGGCCACTGTATGGATTAGGTGTCCTTCTGATTTGGCACTGTGGGCCTGCCCCACCCTAGCACTGATGGCTCCTCTCTCTAAACAGTGAGAGTCCCGAGGGAACTGACTATAATTTCCATGTGTCCAGCATCCAGTACAAAGGAGGTACCAACAAATGTTCCTTGAATGAATGCATGCATGTTGGTTTCCTCTTGGAGCGCAGAACTCACATCTCTTTGGAAAAAAAAAAAGCCCCGGAACAATACCCATTTTTTTTTTCTTTTTCTTTTCTTTCTTTCTGTTTTTAATGTAATTTTATTTTATTTTTGAGATAGAGTCTTGCTCTGCTGCCCAGGCTGCAGTGTAGTGGTGCAATCACAGCTCACCGCATCCTCTAACTCCTGGGCTCAAACAGTCCTCCTGCCTCAGCCTCCAGAGTAGCTGGGACAACAGGCACACACCACCACACCCAGCTATTCAAAATGTTTTGGTTTTTTTTTAGACTGAGGTGTCGCTATGTTGCTCAGGCTGGTCATGGACCATTGCTTAAAACAATGACTGTGAAACAAGCAATGGTGACCTGGACAGAAATTCTACCCTCTATGAAGTCTTTGTTCAACAGTAGGTGCTGCCTTGAATGAGCCATGATACAAAGCAGGGGATCCTAGGAGCAAAGAGAAGAGGCAGACTTAATCTAAGAGAGAGGATGGGGAAAGTTTTCTGTTCAACGTGGTATTTAAGCTAAGGAGGCCCCACCCTTCTTTTTTTTTTTTTTTTTTTTTTGAGACGGAGTTTCGCTCTTGTTACCCAGGCTGGAGTGCAATGGCGCGATCTCGGCTCACTGCAACCTCCGCCTCCTGGGTTCAGGCATTTCTCCTACCTCAGCCTCCTGAGTAGCTGGGATTACAGGCACACGCCACCATGCCCAGCTAATTTTTAGTATTTTTTTAATAGAGACGGGGTTTCACCATGTTGACGAGGACAGTCTCGATCTCTTGACCTCGTGATCCACCCGCCTAGGCCTCCCAAAGTGCTGGGATTACAGGCCTGAGCCACCGCGCCCGGCCGCCACCCTTCTTAAGAAGAAAAATTTTTTTCTTTAATATCCTAAGTACCAGCCAGGTATAGTGGCTAACAACCATAGTCCCAGCACTTTGGGAGGCCATGGCGGGCAGATCACCTGAGGTCAGGAGTTCCAGACCAGGCTGGCCAACATGGAGAAACCCTGTCTCTACCAAAAATATAAAAATTAGCCAGGCTTGGAGGCACATGCCTGTAATCCCAGCTACTCGGTAGGCTGAGACAGGAGAGTTGCTTGAACCCAGGAGGCTGAGGTTGCAGTGAGCCAAGATGGCACCACTCCAGCCTGGGCGACAGAGCAAGACTCCATCTCAAAAAAAAATTATATATCTCCTAAGTACCCGACCCGACATTCTCCCATTGGTAATTTACTCCAAAGGTAAATTTTAGTTTCTTTGCAATTCTTCCTCGTTGGCCTCAGGCTGACAATAGAGAGTAGTAGTACTTGTTTTCTCTTCCAGCAGCTTTAAAATTTAGGGATATTATTATTATTATTATTATTTTTATTTTTATTTTTTTTTTTTGAGACGGAGTTTCGCTCTTGTTACCCAGGCTGGAGTGCAATGGCGCGATCTCGGCTCACCGCAACCTCCGCCTCCTGGGTTCAGGCAATTCTCCTGCCTCAGCCTCCTGAGTAGCTGGGATTATAGGCAGGCACCACCATGCCCAGCTAATTTTTTTTTGTATTTTTAGTAGAGACGGGGTTTCACCATGTTGACCAGGTTGAGTCTCG